CACAGCGCTTTGATGGAATTAGGCCTGTTAAAGCTGGGCTTACTTTACTTTGCAGACCGAAACAGGAAGAAAGATATTCAGTGTCCTGCAGTGAACTCACAACCTCGGGGCTGTGCACAGCCTGAAATCTGTTGCATTTTTTAATGGCAGGTGTGAAAGCTTTTCATCTCCAAAAGGTGCTTTGAACAGAGTCGATCCATTTGGGCTTTTCAACCCTTCAGTGACGTTAATAGTTGATCTCCTCAAAGCTCCGCTGCAACACAATAATCAATGTGTAAGGTATGAAACATGAAAAGGGATCAAATATCAACTAAATTCCTTAAAACTTTAGTACAACACTTAAAAATGGGCACAAATACACTTGATTTTGTTTTTCTGTGTTTCTTTTTACCCAGATTTTGTGTTTCCCAGGCTTCCACGCCATGATTCCTGCCGGTAGAGGACAATGCTCACCTCTATTTACAGTAAACGGGATTCAAGCTCCGTTCACACAGCTCAACAACTCCAAAAACACAATTAGGCAGCAGAATGTCTCTAACTTCTTTTTAAAATCCAGTTTACAAGCAGTTTCAGCTGTCATATTTTGTTTGTTAAACAAATAAATTTGAACTTTAGTGTTTTATTAGCTCGCAAGTAAAAGCTCATGAAGGTCTTAAGGGTGTTTTTGTTCACAGCTGTCAATATACATGTAGAAATCTTTATATTTACTCAGCTCAAAGAATTAAGGGGCGTTTAGATTGCACAGAAAAGTTGCTTCATACTTGTGATGCAAAAAGAATAAAGTAAATCCTGCTGTATTAAATGGCTGTCACTGAAAAAGACCTACATGCATGAAAGTATTTATTACACAGGTTTAAGTTTCATCTTAGTTGCTTTACTTTTTATATATTGGACATTTACATATTTTTTTTTTTTTTATTGATTTTAGCCGATTCATTTTTGAATTTTCTTCTTTGGCATTGCAACTCATGTGCAATGGAAGCAAATTGGTTACATTACCTTTCAAAATGAAAACAAAACACCTGAAATGAAATGGAAATCTTTACAAACAGAAGCATTCAACATTAGTTCCTGTAGTTTTCACCGGAAGGTTACCTAAAAAGTTATGAAAATATACTTTTAAAGTTTCCCTCTATGTAAAAACCTATTAACCTTTGTAGTACTGACATAACTCACAATTGTCCACTCATCATGTGGTTATATAAAGCAATAACTGCTCTCTTTAAACCTCCCTCCTGCACAGCTTAGCTCATAATGAACTGTGTTCTTTTCTTAGTGTTTAACACAAAATGAACCAGACAATATTTAACTGCCATCTAGTTGAATACCGCCAGAAAAACACCACATGAGAAAAAGAAGTTTAAGGACCAAACGTCACATGGTTATAAGGTAACCAACTTTAGAAAGTCTGCACAGATGACATATTAGTTTAGTGCAGCTGAAGTGCTTTAGTTTAAGGGACTAATAATTTGGAGAAGAACTTTTAAATTTCTGGATAGAGTGCTGGTTTGTTAGGTCTTAAAATTGTGCCCTCTTTGACAACATTTTTTATGAATGCATCTTCATGAAATAAATCAATTTCTAAAATATACAATTAACCCCAAAGGGAGATTAAATTCCTATTGGTATATTAAATATGCATCATGGGATCTCATTCAACGTGGATACTTAATGATTCTCTGTACGGTTTGTCATCTTTTATCTGGATATTTAGATTTACTTCTTTTTATCGTAGAATCTTATCGTATATATTTTGACTTTGGATGAAGAAATGAGGAATTATCTCAAAGCTTAAAACTCTAAAATATAAAATTCATCAAACAATAAAGACACAGCTCTGTATCCAGCCAGCCCAGTAGATGAGGGTACACCATGTGACTACAGAAAGTCCACATCAGAAAGCTGCAACTCATACTGAGCTCTATGCAATGGTGCACTGAGAAAAAAGCATCATCAGCATATATGCAGACTTTTGTGCTTTTTTTCAAATTTTTATATCAATAAAAACTAGAAGTAATGATTCTGATGTAAATCCCAGTGATTTTCCATTTACATGTTTAGATAATGGAGAAAGATCCCAGTGATCATTCTGTGTATGTTTTTTTCACTTCCATCCCCTCATTGCTACACAGCCAATTGCTGTTGAGTATCAGGGTCACATGTGCAACAGCCTATCAGTTAGGTATATTAGTTGGAGTGGGGAAGTATGAAAGACTATGGCATGTTGGGAGAAGCAGAGCTGCAGGAGCTAACTACTTAGCCGAGATGACATGAAAAAACCTGTTTGTGTGACATACAAACTATGGAATTGGCCAGGTGTTGATGGCGAGCTGAAGGTCCAGGCCTAGAGCCCAAGAAAGATTGAACTTTGGGTGCACAAAGACTTTGGATCTCCTACCAGGCTGGTATGAGGCTCCTTGCAGCCAACAAACAGTTTTGTTTTCACTCTGCTCTGACTTTTGTCAGTCCATGACCTGCACTGCACCAAGCACTTTAGAAGGAATTTGCTTGGGACCTTTAATCAACCCCAGCTTGGGGTGAATGGACTGAAGGGATGTGGTTTCATTAATTGTGGAATTGATTAATTTTGTTTTTCTTTTTCCTCTTTATTGTTTTTTTTTTTTTCCTCTTTTGATGTTGTGAATATGTATAAAATTTTCCTCATTATAAATACAAGGCACTCGCAACTGCAAACTTCTAGTCTCTGTCTGCCCTTTCATGAGTCATATCTATCTTCTGAGAACTAGCCTATTGACCTTATTGGTTATGATCCATTTGCATTAATTTAAAATATAGTATACTGTTGTTTTTTACAGATATGCTACAATATGCTTAAAGTAGATCCTGATACTGGCATGATTTGTCTGTGTTTGTTTGAGTGCATGCCAGCAGGGGTGTTTGGGCGTGCTCATGTTGCTGTGGTGTTGCTGGGCTGTCATTGGTCTTTTATCCAGCCCTGAGATATGTGGAACTGCATCTTCATCCCCTCCTTTGTGCTGCTCTGCTCTCTGCACTCTCCTGTGGACCTGGTGACCTCTTATCCTATTTGTCGTGTTTTCTTAATGGTGGATCACAATGCCATGCCCCTTTGACCTTTTCCAACAACGAGTAAGTCAATAGTGGTCCTCCCATTAGGCTTCCTGCTACTCATCCAACCAATCATTGTAGAGTATCAAGGTTTTTTTTTTTTCTTTTTGCATCTCAGTCAAAATATAGATGATACCAGCTTGTAAAGAAGTAGTCTTCAACCACATTTTATTGAGCAACCAACTTTTTTCTCTCTGAACAACAGCAGTGGTGTTAGTTGCCAGTGGCAGCAACAGCTATGGCAATGGCAGGCCATAAAGGCATCGTCAATTTAAAGGATTTTTAGGGAACAAATGGGAGCAGGAGACAAAGAGAATGCACTCGTGCAAGGATGCCTGGCAACATCAAGATCACATGAGGTCACATTCAATGATGGTTGGGTATAAAGTCATGAATCTGAGCCCAAATTATCCAAAAACAGGAGCAAATGTAATTATATGAACTGGACCAAAGTGTTCGATGGTGAACAAAAAAAAGATTCATTTGGATAAATTTAAATTCCATCAAATAAAAAACAACTTAACCCCCAAAAGGAATAGGAGTTTCTTTAATGTGTTGATACTGTGTTGTGAATTGGGGCTATATAAATAAACTGAATTGAATTGAAATAATGTCTTTAGGCAGGAAAGACCTCCTGCAGTATTCAGAATTACAGCAGATCTGCAGAAGTTTCTGACGATGTTTTAATTTTTGTTCTTAAGTTTGATGATGAGGCTCAGGTTAATTATAAAGCAGAACTCCAGAAAAGATAGCTACATTTCTGTAAATGTTGATTAATGTCATCTTGGGTGAAGAAGGGGAATCAAATAGATGTAACTGATCTAAAAGATCAAAAAGTATTTAAATTTTAATTAAAAGAAGAAATGGTTCCATGTGATTTCTTTATCACTTTATAGTCCCCACTGTGGGATTATAAAGGAATAACTTTCTGGTACATTGGATAAAATGGAATATAACTGAAAACAGGATAAAACTAAAACGCACTTTTGCTGATTTCTTCTATCCACAGACTCAAATCTCAGTATCAAATAGCTTAAAGTTAATTTTTAGGCCCAAAACCTGAAATGTTAAGAAAACCATATGAATCAGAAGATGGATTTTAGAGTTTTAGCGCCATTGGAATAACTCTGTGAGAATTTTATTACTGGACTACAGTTTAACCATGTTAACCAGTAAAACTCCAAACTAAGCTAAGGACTTTTGTTGCTTCCATTTACTCCTGTTATACTGTTTTATTTCGCTATTTCACTGTTGGAACCGTCTGTCTGAAATATTCTAACAAAGGTTGCACTGCATCAACGTAAAGAAGCTGGCCAGAACAGGAGCAGATGTTACAAATGTCATCTTTTAATTACATTCTCTGTTATATGTGGTTAATTCTATGTAAACGGTGATCATTTCAGACATAGAGGAGGCTGGAGTACCCATAAGGATTCCACATATTCACAGGGAAAACATGCAAACTCAAACCAGAAAATGCGCTGAGATTAAAATCTGGCAACATATTCCTTTGGAATAAAAATAAAATAAAATAAAAAAAAAGATGAATTTGGGTTTTTTAGAAGATCAAAATGTTTTATGATTTAGGAATTCAACTATTTCACTTTAAGACCATGAGTAAAACTTACAAACCTGGTATAATATCAGTCAATCCATTTGTTTACTTTAAATTACAACTGGAGTGAGTAACAAGTGTTACTAGAGCATTAAGTGTGAGGTATTTGCCATGAAAATCCATTTTGTTTGGACAGTTTAGCTGTTTTCTGATGGCAATGGGGCATGTGGATGCCCAGGTATTTCAACCATTGAAAGAAATAACATTAGAGCCTGTCATGTTCCTTCATGTTTTTAACCGCAGTTAAAAAGGTAGAAATCCACAACATTAACCCAGTTTCTCTCTCTCTAACCGTTAGGTGATATATCGAACGCTACCAAAGTGGCAGTCGCTGGATCCGTTTGGGTTGGAGGGCCAGCAGCAGCTGAGGGTGACCAACATCCGGATCCGGCTGTTAAAGCAGCAGCAGTGCCCCTGCCAGGCCAAAGCTCTCGCCACTACAAGGAAAGCTCTTCCAGCTCGACACTTTGCCATCTATGACCTGATAGTGAAAGGAAGCTGCTTCTGCAACGGCCACGCTGAGCAGTGCGTCCCTGCACCTAAATACCAGCCCACCAGAGACAGGACCAACCATGTGGTAAGGCAAGATTAAAGCCTTTACGGAAACAAATCTTTCAAAACAACCTGTCTGAATACATGAAGTAGAAAAAAAAAAGTACAAAAGGTGAAAATCAAGGTCTTTGACATCTAAGAGCTACCAAAATACCAAAAAATATTTTAAAAGAGAATCTGAGACTCATCTAAGTGTTCATAAAACACCCTAGAACATATACAGCAGTGTAGGCCTCACTCTTCTCAGTTAAAGGTATAGTGGAGGATTTTCGCCAATTTTTGAAAAGACCCGCCCTCTCCACTTAAAAAAAATGCACATGCACAACCCTTTACCCACTCCCAAGAGGGAACGGCTATTGAACTCGTGCGAGAGCGTGCACGAGCCCATTTCTCCTCGTGCATGCTCGGTTTAAAAGTTGCTGTTTGCATCGCTCATACAAGCTTACTTTCCAAAAGAAGATTTGCAATTTTTCCACTATGTCAGAATCACCACCTGTAAGTGAAAATGGGGAGGAGCACATAGGACGGCCTTACGTAAACATATCACCAGAATGATTGACAATTAGGAGGACCACTTTTTTAAATGATCCACCTGGAAAAATAACATCCTCCACTGTACCTTTAAGATTAGACCATTTTTAGACTAAGATCCCTGCTTACCCAAAAGAAGAAAAGCTAATTCCAAATGCCAAAAGTGCATGGACGTAATTTTATTTTCATATGTCCGTTTAGGTCCCCTGCACGTTTTACTGTCTAAAAACTTTGTTATTCTACGGTACACAGACAATCATCGAGCACTTGGACCCAGCGGAGAACCGCAGGTCAAACTGAAGGACTGCTTCCTTGAGTTTGCTGAAGTTGGTTATATTAAAAAATACTTGCATTGCCCCCGGCTTCTGAAATCAAAAATTCATCAATGCATCTGTGCTTTGG